GACTCCGAAATGGTGTTGAGGATGATGGAACAATATTTTTTAATTGGTGTTGTAAGATATTGATGGTAACGTTATGGTGTTGGTGTTGGTGTTGTATGGATGTTTTGATGGTGTTGAAAGATACATTATTTTGTTTTTTGTGGGATTAAAGCTTCCCATTATCACCATTATTACCACTAACCCCACCATGATCAACCTTCCCTCACCACACACCACATACCCTCACCACACACCACACACCCTCACCACACACCACACACCCTCACTACACACACACCCCCCCCCACCCTCACCACGACACATCCTCCCCCGAACGCTACCTAGAATGGTTAGGTTAGGTTATATCAGGTTAAATTAGTATAATATGGTTAATCTTCAGATGCTCCAACAATAACAACATGACGATAAAAACAAAAACAAAAATAAAATCGCAGCAGCAACTAAAAAATTAAAAAACAATAATAAATAAATAAAAAAACACAATTAAAAAATCACAGTCTAACAAACACACGAGAATTTATTTCCCCCTCGACCCCCGTGTTACTTTCCCAGCTCCCATAAATACTCTACACCTGTGACCCCTTTCCCTCTAAAACACACACACACACACACACACACACACACACACACACACACACACACACACACACACACACACACACACACACACACACACACACACACTCTCTCTCTCTCTCTCTCTATCTTCCTGTATTGCCAGTCGAATAAACTTACCTTCGCCTCTTAACCTTCAACAAGAAATAATACTGTCGTGGGATCTATACACATCACAGGGAGGCTTCAGTATATACTTGTCTATTAAGGTATTATGATTGTGTGTATTTAATGGATCTTATTTTACTCTAAGATAAATTATAAACAGTTTATTATTATTCTATCCATTGGTTTCTTTTTCTCTTTCCTTCCCTCTCTCTTTCTTCTTCCATTCCCTCCCTCCCCTCCTCCTTCCATTTTCCATTTCCTCCCTCATCCTTCCCTCCCTACCCTCTTTTTTTCTTCCTCCTTCTTTTCCCTCCCTCCCCTCATCCTTCCTTCCTTCCTTCTTTCCTTCCTTCCTTCCTTCCTTCCTTCCTTCCTTCGTCCCAGAAAAAGTAAAACACAGATCTCCATAATTAATGATCAAACATAATAATATCCCTCGAACACAAGGTAAGCCCTGACAAACAAGGAGAGTTTCCTAATGAGATTATACAAAGAGCCTTTATCATCAGCAAGTTTGTTTGGGTATCCTTACATGTGTGGGTGGGTGGGGTGGGTGGTGGGTGGTAAGGTGGGTGTGTGTGTGTATGTCACCATTACCACCATTATTACCTATAGCCGTACCATAATTCTCTTATAGTCACTTTGGCACTAATAAATCCCCTCTGGCACCTCCCGGACACCTAAAGTACCATTCGGGTGTCGTGAGGAGCGCCATTGTCCAGAGTTATACCTTGAACCTCGACACTAGTGAGGTCCTCCCCTTCTTCGCCTTCTACCTCCACTGCCCTCATTCTCTATCAGTAGATTCAGTGACCGTAGATTCATTTCTTAGAACTTTACCTGTCTAGACATTTAGAATAGTTTACCTTCCATCAAACAAAAGAGAACTGACAAGCAGACGTTCGGATCATAGAAAATGAAAGTAACTTAGAGTCAACTTAAATTTTAGTCCATTATTGATTTATTTTATTATTAATGTAAGAGAGAATTACAATATAAGTTCCAGAGTGTATTAATAAACTAGTGAGAGATTATTTTAAGTAGGAAGGACACTAATCATGGTAACTACAGTACTACACCATTGCACTCCTGACCATACTACTGTTTCTACCGTATTATTATCCATGTAATTCCATAATCCTTTGCCATTTAGTCATCTCCATCATCCTTAAACTTATGCCATAATTACATCCATACCACCATCACTATCCTTATTTCCTTAACTCACCTATTACCCTACTTTTCCTTCCTCCTTACTCTCACATCCTCCTAACCTTCCCTCACATCCCCGTCCCTATCCCTACATCCTCCCTACCCTCACATGATCCCTACCCTCCCTACCATCACACCCTCCCTATCTTCACACCATCCCTACCCTCATACCATCCCTATCCTCATACCATCCCTATCCTCACACCATCCCTATCCTCACATCCTCCCTAGTCCCTATCCTCTAGTAAATACTACAGAGAACAAATTATCTAACTCTAAGCGCCATTCAGTCAGTTCATTATTATAAAGTTAGTTAATCTTGAGGAGGGCCTTTAATGAGCTCCTATTAAATGGGTCCAAAAAGTTTAAATTAACCAACAAAGGAAAGTTGTGTTAGGCCTGGGTGTTCTCCTGAGTCAGCTGGTAGTGGAGAGGGCCAGGCTGTAGGAGTGGGCGAAGGGATGGATAAAGCTAAGCAATATGGGGTCACAGTGTGGTGTTTGGGGGTTCTCTCTGATATTTCATTAAAGGTTAAGTGGAGATAATTTTTTCCCGATATGGTAAAATCTAAGATTATTTTTTTCCGATTTATTATTTCCTGGTGAGTGGAAAGAGAGAGAGGATGGTAGACACACACACACACACACACACACACACACACACACACACACACACACACACACACACACACACACACACACGTAAGGATACCCAAACAAACTTGCTGATGATGAAGGCTCTTTGTATAATCTCATTAGGAAACTCTCCTTGTTTGTCAGGGCTTACCTTGTGTACGAGGGATATTATTATGTTTGATCATTAATTATGGAGATCTGTGTTTTACTTTTTCTGGGACGAAGGAAGGAAGGAAGGAAGGAAGGAAGGAAGGAAGGAAGGAAGGCAGGAAGAGGGAATAGAAAGGTGAACAGAGAGGGTAGGGAAGGAGGGAAAGGAAAAGGATATATATATCTATATATATATATATATATATATATATATATATATATATATATATATATATATATATATATATATATATATATGTGTGATGAGAGATATACACCTGTTTAATTAAGAGAAGAAGCCAAACAAGCACTGAAACTTAATCATTCCTTCAGAAAAACACTAAATCGTTTATCTTCATCAATGAGACATTCTCCAAGCAAGTTCTATTGAAAGGTTCAGGTGGAAGGTGAAAAGTTTGCCTGTCTAAATGCCGCGGTGTCAGTGCTTGTTGACATCGAGGAAGAGAGAAGTTGGTTTTTCAGGCTGGAATCTCATGTCAAAAGTCTGGGAGTGTGAGGGTTATGAGGTGTGAGGGTTATGAGGTGTGAGGGTTATGAGGTGGAGGGTTAGAGGGGTGGGGAGAGGTGTGAGGGTTATGAGGTGTGAGGGTTATGAGATGTGAGGGTTATGAGGTCTGAGGGTCATGAAGGGTCACGTAGCGATAGGTGTAAACATTGGAAATATATCAATGTATCTATTAAATTATGGGACTATCATGGGGTAATATTATCATTAAAGAAATGTTAAGAGTTATTAAATAAACATGGGAAAGAGACTGAGGAAGTGATGTGTGTGTGTGTGTGTGTGTGTGTGTGTGTGTGTGTGTGTGTGTGTGTGTGTGTGTTTACAGTGCAACTATAGAGAAATACAGCGATTGTTTTGTTTTTTTGTATCCTCCCTTAAGCGTGAAGAGAACATCTCCTCCCCGTCTAGTTCTTCACGAGGGAAAGATAAATGATAATATCGAGGCTCTTACTATGAAGGGGAAAACAAATACACTGGAGTGAACTTAATGAGGTGTCGAGTGTAAGTTGAGATGAGAGGTGACGAGTCAATACCAACACCTCCTCTAAGTTACACATTCCCACCTCCTCTTCCTCCTCCTTCTCCTCTTCCTTCTCTTTCACTTCATCCTCCTCTTCTTCCCCCTTCCCTTTCTCCCCTTCCTTCTCCTCCTCCCCTTCTTCCTCTTCTTCCCCCTTCTGTTGCCTCGCCTCGCCTCACCCTTCCAAGATTTCCTGTTACATAATATTGCTCGTACTCTGAACTGTAATGGTGGTGGTGGTGGTGGTGGTCATGGTATGGTAGTGATGGTTGGCTGGTTAGGTGGTAGAGGGAAGCAGGGAGGGTGAGGTGGTAGAGATGGTGGTAGAGATGGTGGTATTCTGAAAACAAATGATAAGGTTAGTGGAGATATGGTTTGTTTATTATTGGTGGGATGGTAGGGAGAGGAGAGGGAGGAGTGGTAGGGAACGTGAGGTATAGCTGTCATTTATAAATTACATATTCAATAACTGATTCTCAATTCCATCACGAGTTAAAGAATTAGAAATAACTAAAAAAGGTCGACATTTATGGGAGACTATTTCACATTTACATTTTCTATGGATTGGCTAACTAGTTTTCTTTAATACTTTTATAGGGTAGACTGAAGAATCTTGGGCACATACCTCCTCCTGACCGGCTAGTGTAGTACTGACCAGGACATACAAGTGTAACGCCTTACTACTGATGACATTTACACAAATAAACAACTACAACTACTTCCAGGGTCTTGCTTCTTTTAAAGGTATGTTATTGTTGTCTTTACGAGAAATACAAAATCAAAATGTATGTATCTCTGTAGAAGAGAGAGCACACAGGAATAACGATCACCTGTATTACCAAACATATACATCTACATCATCTACATCGCCTTTCTTCGGAGTGTCACTATGTAGCATCTTGTAGTAAATGTATATATAAGCATCGGTCTTATATTAAGGCAGAGTAAACACATTCATTTTGTTCCTGTTTTGCCCACATATTTTCAGGAACTAATTTGTGATGGGATAGTAACGTGGTTGGTGCAGTATAGATAATAGTGTAATTACTGAGGTGAATTTATTAAGGGAACGCATGTAAGAGTTTTCATTTGTTTTTACTAAATATAATTACAATAGTTATCCTTTACCTGTTGTTATTGTTTGGGAATATCGTTTCTGATATTGTCGTTCCTCATTTAATTGCAATCACACCTGTAATCTATTAAGCTGTAGAGGGATTTAAAAAAATAAGTCTTACAGGTACGTTTTATGTGATATATAAACTTTTACACTAAGTATGTACAGTCTTGATCCAAAAAAACTCGTAATTAGGTAAACAACAGCAATGTTTATCAGGGTTGTGTGATACAATGAACACAAACTTGAGACACTGTGAGCTATAAGGTATAGAACGAAGGTACTATACGAGTGTTGGTACGTCAGGTTACGTCAATACTTACGTCTTGAGATGCTTAATCCATCATCTTAACCCCCCACCTCTCTCTCTCTCTCTCTCTCCTTCACACCATACTTGACCTGACTTGAGCAACAAACACATATACACAGTGAATCATAATAACCATCTGGGAACAATATTTACACTGACAACAGACAGACTTAAGGAGATTTCAACATTCAGCAACAGGTAATCAAACAACACCTCTGATTTATTACATTATAAAAATAGAAACCTTGTTTTCTTTCTTCTACAGCTCTCAATTGTTTATACAGAAATAAGGCTAAAAAAAACTACACATTTATACTGTAGGGATTTTTCTGGGTCCCTCGGTGTAATTTTGGCTGTTGTTGATGTTTCTGTTGGGCGTTCTGTTGCTGTTGCTCCTGTTGTTGCTGCTGCTGCTGTTGTTCATACCGTTGCAACAAAACAGCCAGTTCATTAGCCGACATATTATCACTTCCTATTTTACCATTAATTCGTCTCCCTCTTAACTGTGAGGCGTTGGAGCTGGCCTGAGCTTGTGATAGCATCTCTCTGTCGCACTCCGTCTCGGACAGTTCTCGGGAGTCAGAGAAGGCCGAGGGAGGGTGCAGAGGCCTGGGTGGTGGAGTCCGTGGTCGTGGGGGTGTGAGGGGAGACGAAGCCCCGCTGGACGAGGAGGAATCTCTTCGTACTCTGTCAACACAAATTCAATGGTATTAGAGATTTTTTTAACATATGAAAATTATGACATTAATCTATATACAAGGAGAGGATAATAATAATAATACTAATAATAATAATAATAATAATAATAATAATAATAATAAAAATAATAATAATAACCATAATTCAAAGAGATCCAATGTTTTTATTAAAATTATTTACGGTTTGGCAAAAAAAAATATACTCAAAAAATACTACATACACAAAGGGCATACAACACGGGGTAAACATGCTTAAGTAAGATTCCACGAGATAAGAAAAGACTCAGGGAAAAATGACACACTGAATACTAGATGTTTAGATATTAGAAAGAGCTAGAGTTGCTTAGTGGGCGCGGGGGCGTGAGGGAAGGTGGGCAGCCTCTCATACAGCAGTGGGCTTGATGTGGGAAATGATGATTGATGATGACGATGATGATGATGATGATGATGATGATGATGATGAAGATGATGATGATGATGATATGGATAATAACAGTGATGATGATGGCAAGAATAATAATAACGACAGTAATAATAATAAAAGAGGATCGCAATACAACAGGCGGAGGGATAAAAGCACTACCCGTGTAAGTAACTAAGGATCGTGCGGCACCTGGAGGGGGAGGAGGAGGGATGAAGGGTATGGTGGGAGCTGCGTCAGCCAGGGACCACCTACATAGCTCAGCCTCCACTACCTGGACTACCTGGCATGGCGGACAGGCGGCAGTGGATGAGGCCCAACACGTCCTCCTGCTGTCACTTGCTGCTGTGAGGCCAACTGCTGTGGGTGCTGTGATACTACCATCTGCTGTGAGGCTAACTGCTGAGGACGCTGTTGGTGATGCGGTTGTGGTGGCATTTGTGGGTGTTGATAGTGCTGTCGCTGCTGCTGCACAGGTGAGGAAGGGTCGTTACTCTCAGTGCTGGAATCACGGTTAGCAGCCTCGGCTCCTGAAGGGGACATGAATTATAGTTACTCCGGGTTGTAAATTTACTGCTTTTATCCGATTTTATATTGAAATCGCAAAATGTGATTTATTTTATCCCTTTGAGTGCGGTGACGTATTCAGGAGCTTATGCTATCGTTGTCAAGGGGTTATATGACATAGTACTCAAGGGGTTAAGTCATTGTACTCAAGGGGTCTAGTCATCTTACACAAGAAATTAAGTCATTGTACTCAAGGGGTTAAGTCATCGTACTCAAGAGGTCAGGTCATCGTACTCGAGGGTTAAGCCATCTTACTCAAGGGTTAAGTCATCGTACTCAGGGGGTTAAATGAATAAAAAAACTATTTAACCAGCACACGATGAACCAGCTCATAAGTCAATCAACTCCCCGATCACTCACTGTTTACGCGACGCTCACCTCTCGTACGACTTCTGGAGCGGTTAGGTCGAGTTCGCGAGTCCTTCCGAGACTCCTCTGGCCACGCCCTCTGCTCTACGGCCTCTCCTGGTTGAGGTGCAGGTGTCGGCTGTCCCCCTGGCATGGACTTGGGTCTACTTCCATACTCACCGCGGTTACGATTACTTATATAGGCGATCTCTGGTGAACGTTAACGAAGGTAGATGATAAGAACCGACCCTCATAATGTTATTCATCATTCTTATGTATACATGTTATTCCAGCCTTATATTACATTAAGTATACATGGTGAAGTTAACACTAAATTAACTGGATTACCTGAAGATTAGGTACGCTTCTTTATTTCACCTGAGGATTTATCACCCTAACGCTACCTTGGGGCTTAGATTAGATTAGATTAGATTAAATTAAATTAGATTAGATTAGATTAAATTAGATTAGATAACTATAAGTATTTTTAAAAATCGAATCAAATAAACTGTAATATCTAATCTTCAGGTTAACCGATTGCTTAATGATTTCACTCACCTGTTTCCTTATAGTGGGACTGAGCTCGTTGACGCCCAAGCTGACCGTAGGCTGGTGACTGCTGGGTGTGACGCTCACTGTGGACAGGTTGGTCGAGGCAGTCCCGAGGTGTCATAGCGTGTAGAGACAGACCATACTCTAAAGTGCCCTCCGAGCTTCCCACGCTAAGACCACAGGAAAACTCAGAGGGAGAGTGAGAGAGAGAGAGAGAGAGAGAGAGAGAGAGAGAGAGAGAGAGACTGATGATCGATGTGAATAGAGAAGGTAACATGGAGGTAATATTTGCTAAGAGGCGAAAACTCCCTAAATTGAGTAAAAAGGTTGAAGGTCCTATACCACGTAACTCATTCTACCACAACATGAAGATCACAACAACCACAAACATTCACGATCGAAGTAATTATCGATAATATCAAACTTTACATACGAATACTTAGAAGAATTCGCAGTCACTTAAATTTCTACATTAAACCCACTTTATAAAATAGAAACATATAAAAATAACACAGGGAAATTTTTCATTGATATCATTTTTAGTTGATGTCATAAAAGTCAATGATATCGAAGAGGATTTGTATATGAACTGATAACACAGGTATGAGATGAAGATATACCTGAAGGTGGCGTATGGGCAGATCTCGTAGGGGTCAGAGGTGTCGTCCTGGGTCTTGAGGGAGGCAAGGGAGCCGTGGGGTTTCTTGGTTGGCGTCGGAGAGTAGAGGTGGGCGCGGGTGAGCTCTGAGTTACGGGCGTTGTCTTCCTCTCCCCCGCCCTTGTTGTCCAGACTCTCACCTGGTCTGTTGGACAGGTGGAGGACAAGGAAGAGTGTTTATAGTTAACAGGTGATAATGAAAGGTGTTCGTGGTGTTAAATTGAGGGAACAAACTTGAATAACGCTACTCCTAACTAACCAAATCTAACCTAACCTAACTTAACCTAACCTATTATATCTAAGGTAATATACAGTACTATCGCTGTCATGACCACTCCATAAAAAGTAATGCAGTTGAACTTCTTAACAAAATCTTTTCTTGTGTTTATATTCGTTAATAAAGTATAGGAATAATGATCTATTCTTGAGGTGCTCACCTGTAACCACCGTACCTTCTTCTCCTGACGGCGACGCAGACGCAGATTATCAGTGCAGCAGCCAGCAGGACGGCGCTGACAACACCTGCCACCACATGGGCGTCTAGCCACCCTGTCATCACCGCCGGGCTGCCCATCACCACTACCTCCTGCACCGGCGGCTCTCCTGTAAGAGAATTTCCACTGAGTAATGTTTGGGTATAAGTGTTCCTGCAGGCGGGTGTTGTTGTTTTCTGACGGTGTTTGTTATTGTTTATGTATCACCCTGTAAGTCTCCATCACAAGCTAAACAAAGATGACCTTGTCAGTCCTTCCAAGTATTCCTGGTGACCATAAAGGCTTCTACTCAGTCATAGGGAAGGTCTAAAGAATATAACTCACCCCCAGGACGCCCTCTGGTGGCCACACCCTTTGATACTAACCTCCGTTGTAGCCCCCGATGGCCACACGGTACACTATGGACGTGTCTCCAGCAGTAGATGCCGCTGTGATCCGCAGGAGGTGCCAGGAGGTAGTGGTCAAGTCACAGATCCCCAGGTCAGTGATGTCTCGGGTCACGTGAGCATACAAGGGTGTCCAGGTCACTTCGTCCTCCTCACTACCAAGTTCAACCTGTTGATGAGAGAAAACGATTACAGACGAGGGGGAGACTTCACAAGAAATACATAGGGCTGGTAACTCTAGCCTTCACGATACGTATAAGAGTAATGACAACAAATGCTTGATTTTGTCGTACGATAACACAATAAGACGTATAAACACATAGACAGAGACAAACAAACAAACAAACAGTGATAGGTATACCTTCCAGTGTGTGACGGGGCAGCCCAGCTCAGGCCAGACATACAGACGGAGCGTCACACACGTCGCGTTCACCTCCATTAATTTGGCCGGGTTGGGACTACCAGGAGCTGTTGTGGAAGCAGTTAAGCTATATCACATTTTGGTAGATTTTTCATTATTATTAATTTTCGGTATTTTTTATTTCTATAAGTGATGGTCAAGAAAATGTTATATTAATTTGTTAGTTATTAGTAAGAAATGACTGTTTTAAGCTTCAATAGTGTGCCCATAATGCACACAGGTGAGAACTACAGGCAATTACAACCAGGTGTTAGGAATGTACTCACGACTGCCGAGTGTGTTAGTGAGGAGGACAGGACTCGGGGTGCTGGTGCCGTGAGTGTTCCAGGCGGTGAGGTAGAGGTGGTGAGGGGCGCCACAGGGAAGACCTCTCACCATCACCGTCCTCACCCCAGGGTCAGCACTCGTCTCCACCCACTCCCCCGCCCGCTGTCTGTGATGCACCGTGTAACCTTTTGGAGAGACGGAAAATGGGTATTGTAATGTGTGTGTTTTATACTGTAGAAGCGATACAGTCTATGTAGTATGGTTAAAATGTTGGCCATATGTGACAATGGTTAACACAGCGGTACTGACCTAGAATAGGAGCGCCTCCGTCACCAGTTGGGGTGATGGAGAGGTTTAGGGCGTGGTGGGTGGCGTGGGCGAGGGTGAGGGTGGGCGGCGGGGGCGTGGTGACGGCCACCACTTGATGCATGAGGCTGTCCACGCCCACACTGTTCCTCACCAAACACGTGAAGTTGGTCGTCTCCCTCACAGCTGTAAGTCACGCCAACAACAACACGCCGTTATTATACAGTCCTGATACAATGTTGGGTTACACAGGTCGAGGTATGTCTGCCCCGCCGTTTGAGTAGAATATCATGAGGTAAGAACTACTGCAATGAGTAAAGCATAAAATATCCCAAGACAACACTGAGGCCGTCTTAGTCGTGTTGAATAATGACATCTTACTCGTGAGGTGAAGGTCCCCCCCTGGCAGGAGCTGGGTGTGTTGGCTGCTGGTGATGGTGTTGGAGCTGCCCTTCCTCCAGGAGATAGTGGGGAGCGGCGACCCCAGGCCCCTGCACCCCAGCGTCACCCCCGACCCTGCCCCCACCCACCACGACCGTCCTCCGCCCACAGCGATGGGCGCATGTGTGGGTGTGGGTGTGGGCACCGCGATGAGTCTTGGCGACTGACTGCCCTCACCCGCCACTGTGGTGGCTGTCACCCACACCTGACGAGTTAAGGAGTCATTTAATGTCTTGACTTTAAAGTTTTTATGATACATGATTTCATAATTCCGTTGGGCACTTTTTGTCCCTTACAGATTAAGACTCTCAAAATGGCTGACTTATAGTTTGTTTATAAATATCATGTGGTTGAAGTCACGTGTTTACACTAAATCTGTAAACAAATGTTGACCTCACAGTTAGCACATCTCTTGGGACCTCTGGGGACAAACCTGGACTCTGGAGGCCGGCGTGAGGTTGTTCAGCTCTCTCCAGGTGGCTTCTGACCCACCTGCACCCACCACGTCCCGCACCGCCACCTGGTCGTCCCTGGCGGAGTAGAGGGTGTAGTGGAGGATGGTGCCTGTTTGTGGCTGGGGCGGCGACCACGTCACCAGCAGGGTGGTGCTGCCTGTCACTATCACCCGCACCCTTCTCGGAGGCCCTGGAACTGATGATGGTGATGCTGTAGTGACTGTATAAGGTGGCGTGTGTGTGTGTGTGTGTGTGTGTGTGTGTGTGTGTGTGTGTGTGTGTGTGTGTGTGTGTGTGTAAAGGAAACATGTATAGGGTGTTTACTAGCCAAGACATTAACTCCATGCCAATTTTCAACCCTGAAATAACTCTTAAATATCGTTAAAGTTAAGTCCCTGTGTTATTCTTCTGTTATGACGCAGCTTCCTCAACACACACACTGAGCCAACAACGGTCACTAAGAAGCGTTCATAAGCTGGATCAAGTCCACTGTTTTACGCAGGTATTTTCTATCAGTTAATCAGCCAGTCAGCTAATCAGTCAGCTAGTCAGTCAGTCTCTTAGGGGTGCTACGGGTTCTTACCATCATCCTCTGTGAGGCAGAAGACGGGGTGGTTGGGGGAGCTGTTGCCCACCTCGTTGAAGGCCTTGACCCTCACACTCATGTTGGTGGCTGGAGGGAGGCCGTCCAGGTTCTTCTCCAGGTTGGTTGTGTTTATCTCCCACGTGCTGCCTGTTGGAGGAGGGTAGACGACCTCAGCTGAAGGTTAGGTTACGTTACGTTACGTTACGTTAGGTTAGACACACAAACAGACAGGAAAATAGATACTAGATAGAGATCAAAATTCACTACAATATATTACCAGTAATGTGCTTAACACGACACACTTACTGCTGCCACTGTGGTAGGTGTGTTTAGTGGGCGTAGCGACGATGGTGTAGCCACTGACGGGGGCGTGAACACAGTGTGAAGGCGGAGGAGACCACCACACCCGTACACTGCCCCGCCCTGACCCACGGCATGATACTCCCGCAGGAGGACACGACGGGGCTGTAGAAGGAATAGGGTTGAGATGTTAGTGTGCAGAGTCATCATCACTGTAGAGAGAGAGAGAGAGAGAGAGAGAGAGAGAGAGAGACTCCCAGTAGGGTAAAGGGACACATCATCTTCGTTATATAAATATATATGACCTCTTACATAACTTTTTATTTCACAGTAATTTTTATCAGAGTCCAAGTGTCTCTGTGGGCACTAAAGAGGTATCGACAGTACTAACCTTTCCTCTTTCCCTTCCTTCCTTACCCTTACCCCTTCCCACCTTCCTTACCCTTCCCCTTGCCCCTTCCCCCTTCTCTCCTTCCCTCCCTTTCCTCTCCTTCCTGTTTCCCTCCCTTCCCTCCCCTTCTCCTACTCACCGTCGTGGCTGGTAGAGTCAACTATCCTGGGTGATGACAGAGGTCCAGGTCCCGCCCTCGTGAACGCCCTCACCGCCACCTCGTAGAGAGACGCCGGAGTCAGGCCTCGAACCTCGTACTGCTCTACAGATTCCGGGTCACCTGCGTCAGAGAGTGGCTCATGGATAATTGTATCTATCAGGACAGAGGCCATTTTCAACTCAGGATACAGCAGTAAATTGTATACGTAAGATGATATGAGACTAAGCCATAACTTGTACCATGATGAAAAAGTACCATAAGGTTTTACCTGTCACTTGAAGCTGTTATTTAAGGTGACTGGAAGAAATGAAGACAAAGAAGATAATATAACCCCTTAATCTCTTACCTAATGGCGTTGCAACGGCTCTGGTGATGTAGGTGAGGTGGCCCTGGAGGTTCTGACGACGAAGAGCGATGGTGTAGCCCCTGAGAGGACCGTGAGTGAGGTGTGGATCAGGGGCACGCCAAGTCACCAAGAGAGAACGAGGACTTCCTGCAGCTACACGCACGTCCCGAGGCGCTCCTGTCGGTGCTGTCAACACACACACACACGTTACATACTGTGTTATTTAGGTTGTTGATGACATATATAACATCTACGGCTATATGATATCCCAGGAAGATGGTCAAGTGCTGAAGAGTCCAAATTCAGAATGTTTCAGATTGATTTATTATATTCTCTCTCTCTCTCTCTCTGAAGCCTCTACTCATCATGGAGGGATGCAGACAACTTACCTTCCTCGGTAGTAGTGAAGACCTGCACGCTGGAGGGCTGAGACACGCCTAAGTCATTATGAGCCATCAGTCTGAGGGCGTAGGAGTGATAGGGTGTGAGTCCTGTCAACACGTGCCACGACGCCCACTGACCCACACTGACGTTACGCCCATGAGTTGCCCACGACTCTCCCTCTGCTGCAGTCAGGGGCAAGGGAGGGAGAGAACCCATTTGTGACGGAAAGAAGAAAAATAACCCAAGTTAATTTTTTGCATCATTATGAACTGGAAAATGATCTTGACATTTATTAAGTTGGTTTAAGGTGTTGTTAGTTTGCATATAACGTTCGTGTTTCTGTAAATTGGCTCAGTTTTCTTTGGTATCGTTGATAAACTGCAATATTTGGTTCATAATTTCAGTCAAGCAGAATTATTATATAATTTCATTGATATGTTAAGAACTATTATTCTTATTCTTCTTCATATTCAGAATGGTCGTGTTGTTTACCTCTATACTGTATGGTAACAGCTGCTGGTTGAGGGAGGGTCCAGGTGACACGTGCAGAGCGACTCCCCACCTCGGACACCACCACACCTGCAGGAGCTGTTGGCGGCTCTGAGGGAGGAGGAGGCGATGAAAGGTCTGTGTTATTGTTTACCTCTTGTGATTACAACCTATAGTAATACGTGTTTATAGATACATATATGTAGCAGGTGGTTACAGGTTAATGAGCTGTAAAAGAAGGCATTGGCTGTGTAATCCATTCCATGTATCTCGCCTCACTTACCTACCCTGTGATGGACCTCTTAATCTTAGGTTAGGTTAGATTTCATTATCCAAATCAAACTGAGTAATTAACACCTGAAACTCACCTATGACAGCGATGTTGAACACCTGTGAGTGCTCCCCGTGTGGGTTGGCAGCTCGACAGGTATACTGCCCGGCGTCTGAAGCTGTCACTATCCCTATCTCCAGCACGGCACGAACAGACCCGCCACCACCACTCTCACGCACCGATGTCCTGCATAAATGGAGAAAAAATACATCAATAATAATACCAACAACATTAACAAGATCAATATCAACGTGACTATATCAATAACACTACAACTAGGTCAATGTAATATCAGTATCATTATGGGAATATCAATATATACAGTAATATCAATGGAATATCCAAAGGAGAATATTGATATTATAGGATTTTATTTTATAATTGATTAAGTTACCTGATTAAGTGATTAAGTTACCTGTGACTTGGTGAGACGGGTGCATGGTGACGCTGCCAGGTGATGGTGAGAGGGTCGTCACCTGTCGCCTCACAGTCGACTGTTACTGTCTGTCCCGCATGGCCCGTCACCCGTCCACCCTCCGTCACCACACGAGCCGGGGCTGTCACGAGATAGATGTTAGACGGGAAGATACACTAGAGACAAGCGAGAAGATATAGGAATGAGAGGCGGTCATGAAAGGACAACTGACAGACGGGAGGACATAAATAGAAAAAGCTAATAATAATAATAATAATAATAATAATAACAGGAATATATAATGGCACTACGACACTTGTCACTAGCTTTACAAACTCTAAAAACACGTTCATATTCCAGTATTTTAATAAGAACAAATAATATAAATATCTCAAAAACATTAGGACAGTTTTATTATATAGTGATTGAGTTTTTCGAGGACAAATTGTCGTTGTTTTTTCAAGTTAAATAATGGAAAATGTCTAGTTAGTAGCTTCAAGTGGCAGGACACCATACACGTTGCTGATGGATGATAACTATATAAAACCGTAATGTACACTATAACCTTCGTATGTCCTTTTAACGTAGCTGAACATAATATAATTTAATAGTTACTTCAAATTTAATAAACGGATTGGTGAAAAAATAATGAGTAATTTTATGTTTAGTCTTTATAATTCAATCAATAATAAGGTCGTGGCGGCATAGGCTTAGTGTGTCCACAGCTAACCAACTATCAGCGTAAGTGTCAATATTTCAAGGGTCAGTCAGGTCACCGCCTCACCTGTTCAATCACTTCAGTCATCGGTATTGAGTTGGTAACTGAAGTGTGAGTGTAGCTGATTACTTACTCACATTTCTTGACGGTGATAAAGTGACGGTGTATTTATGATGGAAAGTGATTCGCTGGACGATATACAGTAACACTTATTAACCATTACGTTAATAACTGGTCTATAGACACCTACGGGAGTGTTTTGTCAAGTGGATAATACAAACGATGGAGGTATGAAGTGTGAGGTCAGTGTGACGTCGAGGCTTTCTCAACCTACCCAGGAACAAGGTAAGCACTTCATCTGACATACAAGTACCATTATTTACACATTAGTATCAACTTGATAACAACATTGACTCTACTTGTGCTTGTTCTGTAAGATTTAGAGTCGTATCAGGGGTTCAAGTTATCTTACTCAAGGGGTTAAGTCATCGTACTCAAGGGCTTAAGTCATCGTACTCAAGGGCTTAAGTCATCGTACTCAAGGGCTTAAGTCATCGTACTCAAGGGCTTAAGTCATCATACTCAAGGGCTTAAGTCATCGTACTCAAGGGCTTAAGTCATCGTACTCAAAGTGTTATCTGAATCAATAGACTAAACCATATTACTCAAAGGGTTAAGTTATCGTTTTCACTTAAAATATCTTAAGTAACAGACAAATTCATCATACTCAGGTGAATTAAGTCATAGTAACTCATAGGTATTAAAAGTAAACACTATTACAGGTATAGACAAGGGCGAAGGAAAGTTATCTTAATGTTGTTTCTTTTATTTCCTGGTGAGTGAGTTTACAGCTCCTCAAGGAATAGTAACACGTCACACCTCAGGTACAACTGAACGTGTAGGTAAAAAAAAATGTAGTGTTAGTTCTGTTTGTCTGTCTCTTCAGTCGTCTCTGTGGCTATCCGTCCGTGTGTCTTTGAGTGTCCGTTCGTCCGTGTGTTTTTACGTGTGTCCGTTCGTCTATTTGTCTTTATGAGTGTACGTTTGGAGTCCGTGTATCTTAGCGAGTGTCCGTCCGTTCTGTTATTATGACTGTCCTTTCACCCGTTCTGTCCTATAACTGTCCGTTCTGTCCTTATATCTGTCCGTCCGTGGTTTATGTGTATATATTTTTTATGTTACTTGATTCCCGAAAGAAAATAAATAAAATTAGTATCCCATTCGTCTCGGGATTTACGTTTTCTGTATTTACGTTTTCCTTACAAGTGTCATTTGAGGGTAAACTAAATTACGTATTCTCCTTATTTACATGTTGGGGGTTTCAAAGGCATATATATTTTCTGGAGTATGAGTGTTGGTGAAGGTATTTTGTTAACACTTTATGGGAATTTATCATAGCAAGACTAGGTATGTGTTGCTTAAGTCTCTGTTTATGGAGTGAGGCACAGCTAGGGGAAAGCTCGTGAGGATTGGGTTATTACGTGAACGATTGAGTAAATTGACTTTAAAATTAGTGTCTCTTAACCTAACTTCACGAAACTTAATCTAAATCAACCTAACCTAACTTCACGGAATTTAATCTAACCTCTTCTAATTATGCTGAATCAGTCATAACAAACTCATATCCTCGCTTTATCTATCATAGTCACAAGGTACGCTGATCACTCGAATATTTCCTTTGGCTTCCATTTCGACTCTGACAATCGCTCGTGACCTAAGACTCCCAAGAGATTAATTTCTGGCCTGACGTTGATTCTCACAGTTTCTTGTGACTTGGTGTGACTCTCCCTAACCCGGTACAATCTCTTACCATGGACTGTGAGCTGGACGACCTTGGAGATGGGTTTACCGACGGTGTTAGCAGCGCGACAGAGGAACCATCCAGCGCTGGTGGTGGTCACAGAAGGCAGCACCAAGGACCCATTCGGTGCCTGGGAAGCTCTTACCCCGTCCAGCACCACCGCCTGGAAGTCCTGCGCTGTGTCACCTGCAACATACAAACACTTTACTGACTCTCCTGCAACATACAACACTTTACTGTTTCTCCTGCAACACATAATATAAATACCTTACCCCACACATCACTTGCTTGGCTTCCCTGCAACACACAAAAGTTAAGTGACTCCTGCAAAACACGACACATCGCTTCCCTCATAATATAAAATATGGCATGAGGAATAATGTGAGGGCAGATGAAGGGAAGACGTGTACTCACCCTACAATGACACCCACTTTGACTGTCAGGTCAGTGTTACTTGGTGGCCTTTATGACTGGAGGGAGGGTGTTAACCTTGTGACATAATGATAGGTGGTTGGGTTATTACCTGTAGATTTATGGGGTGGTGGGGGGGTAATGTTATGCCAGGGGTGGGGGTAATGTTATGCCAGGGGTGGGGGGAGGGAGTATTACCTGGTGCTTTCATCCAGGTGAGGTCAGGTTGGGGGTAGCCGCGGGCACTACAGTCGAGTACCACCGTGTGTCCCACCAAGGCAGTTGCGCTTCCTGGCTCCACTACCCACCTGGGCGACACCTGCCGGTATACACATATGTGAGTCTTGACATTGTTATTCGTAATTTACCTGTATATATTATCCATTCTCTGACCCAAACTCAGGTGTATTTATCAATGGCCATAATTACTAATACCTATTTTGGGATATTTTGTATAGTCACGGTATAAGAATTGTTGCTTTAACTTAAAACTTGGGAGGGAATTAGAGAACCTTATAAATGATTCAGTGTAAACATTGGTAAAACTGTCTGGGTAATTAATACTCACTGTCTCTGACCTGTGTTGCAGTATAGTACAGGTAGTCTTGATTGATTATCCCTCCAAGGTGTGTTGCTAGCCTTGGCTCATGACCTACCATGACCTTCGTGACCTGGCAGCACTATGACCTACCCCAACCCTGCCTATTGATCTTTGTTGACCTTGACATCTGTGACCTACCTTGACCCTGACAGTTGCGGTGTGGTTGGCGGTGGCGGCGGCATTAGCGGCCTCACAGGTGTAGGTGCCAGAGTGGTGTTCCCTCAGCTTCTTGAACAACAGCACCTGGTGGACCAAGACGCACCTTAGTGACTCTGTATAAACACACACACACACACACACACACACGCACACGTCCTCACATTTAAGCTTCTATAGATTCATTACATAATTATGACGCACTACAACACAATTATCATCAAAGACAATCATTATCCCGAACACCTCATTATCTGTTTCACTCTAAGCGTCTCTCCTCACCCTCGAGTAGTCGCTGGTCTGTTTGACATCGATCCCTGGGTCGTGCTGGAGGTGTCTGCCGTCCTTGAGCCAGTTGAGGGTGATGGGTAGGTCACCTGAGTTGATCATACAAGTGAGTTGTGTTCGCTCCCCCTCCTGTAGGTCATTCCGGAACGTGAACGGCTCGATCTTAGGCGGCTCTGTGGTGGACACGAAAGGTGTCGTAGATAAATGGATTAAAAATAATGGATGGTGATGGTTAACTTAGATATTTGACTAAGCAATGCTGGAACGGGTGACAGGATATTAAAGTGTCCAGCATGAGGAGGCCACAACCTAACCTAACCTATCTTGTCCTTAACGAGTTCCTATTCTGATGTTTAGGTCAGGTTGGACTAGGTATGGTTAGGTTAGGTTAGGTTGGACTAGGTAGTAGGTATGGTCAGTGGTTTATTTTTTGTTTTAAGAAAATGTAAGATGAGTGTAAGTTTGGATGCTCTAAAACTGATTATAAGGGTATAAGAACGTGAAGGTGGAAGAGATAAGACAGTATGAATGTATTAGAACGTACTGAGAACGTGGAGGAAGGTGTGGGAGGAGGCGGTTTGGCCCTGCCTGCCGGAGACCACACAGGTGTAGCGGCCGACGTCATCATGGTCAGCTTCCCTGACCACCAGGGTCCCGTTCAACGCCACCTCCTGCCTGTAACACAAACACTGTAACTTTTCCTGTAATACAAACACTTCAACTCTCTTATCTGCAATATAATAAACAACATTCCTTCCTTGCAACACCGCCTGCAACACAAACTCTGCATTATTCATATCTAGCACAAACACTGTAACATATAAAGTCTATACTGCACAAACTTGCCAAAAACAAAAGAGACTCGAGAACTCACCCGAGGGAGGTGGGGAGGATCTGCCCGTCTCTCCTCCAGGTGATGGTGGGGGTGGGGTAGCCTCCTGCAGGACACCACAGCTGCACGTCCTCCCCAGACACTGCCGTCACGTTGCCCATGGCTCTCACGAAGGGGGGACCTGCGAGAGTGGTGAGGGTCAGGGACGGTTGTGTTGTGGGAGAGGAGATAAAAGTGGATAATTGAGGGAGAGAAAAGTGGATTAGAGAAAACGTGGAGGATTGTAGGAAGGTAGTGTAATAATGGACACCTGTAGAGCGCTGAAACGATGTCATTTAAATAATCTCATTAATCCTCCTGCCTGTAAAGTTTCGGTATACAGTTATGGTGCTGCTGTGAGTCCGTCTGTTCATCTGTCTATTCGTCTGCGTGTTGAAAAATAATATCCCACACGTTAGCTAAAATTTCAAAGGGCGCATTGTAGCCATACTTTATACGTAAGTTCTTTTTCACACAGTTGATGAAGCGTATTGATTTCGCTCTCGGTGGTGGGTATTAGCCACTTCCACTGATGGCTCTCGTTAGCACATGACTGTCGCTGATGCCAGGGTCAGACATCAGGCCGTAGTGAGACGCACAGTACTGTAAACTCGGAACTCAAGTCTTCCTGTAAACCCGAAAACCCGAAAAAAAAAACTATGGCGGCAAATTACACGATCTTTAAACTGAAAAAAATGCGTTCTGTTACTGCTATAAGAGAGAGAGAGAGAGAGAGAGAGGGGGGGGAGATATGACACAGCCAGGCCAGTTTGGTCGCTGAGTGAATATCCTCGTTAGTCCAGGTCAAAATATGAGGAGGAACGCGGCCTTATCACCTCACAGTTACCACACAAAGGAAAACTGATGGGACGCGTTCTCTCTCTCTCTCTCTCTCTCTCTCTCTCTCTCTCTCTCTCTCTCTCTCTCTCTTTTTGGGGGTTGATATAGTAAACAAAACAACATTCTTCTCCACCAATGCGATATAAAAGTAAGTACTCAGTGTGTGGTTAAGGGAGTGTGAGTATGGAAGGAATGGTGATGCTGTTAGTGGATGTTGTTTATGTGTTTGAAGGAGACCAGCAACAAAGGCTCACACTCAGTACTATTACACATATTTCCATACCGTTATTGTCTTTACTATCTCACCCTGAGTTAGTGAGGTGTATATCTAGTGTCAGGGTTGTGTAGATGCTGTCACCAACAAATGAACCACATACTGAGTTAACAAGCTGTGTAATTGAGTGTCAAGAGGGAAACTGTGAAGACCGGACAATACGCTAACCACACTGGTTAACCTTTGCCTCGGAACACAACTCTTTAATGCTCACGGGAAGACTAAGGTAAAATAGCGCTAGGGAATGTGTTCAAAATTCCATCCTGCCCGGGAATCGAACCCAAGTCCCCTTATTTAAAAGTCAAGTATGCTAAACACTACACCATGGTTAACGTTCCCCTGAAAATATTTACTGTAAAATAATACGTTGACGTTACCGAAGGGAGAATACAGTAAGTTACCTCATAATAATGTAATGAATTACCTGAGTGATTTATTGTTCGGTAAAATGATTGAATTACTGTTGATAAATACAATAAGTTACAAGTGACTAAAATAGAATAGATGAGTTTACCGTAGAATACAACAGGCGAATAGCAAGTATAATACAAGAGTTAAGTTACGATAGACTACAAGAGTTAAGTTACGATAGACTACAGGAGGTGGTGTTTACCGTAGACATTGAGCCTGGCGGAGTGGGCAAGGGAGCCGTGGGTGTTGGAGGCGGTGCAGGTGTAGAGGCCGCCCTCCCGCCCCGTCACCGAGCTCAGGTTCACTTGGCTCACCACCTCCCCCAGAGCTGTCCTGAAGCTCCCCACACTCGTCCTGTTGGGGAGATAATGATGAGACGCGGGGAGATGGTGATGAGATAGAGGTGTGTTGATGAGATAAGAGAGGTAAAAATGATAGGGGAGGTATTTTTGAGATAGAGGGAGAGATAATGATATGAGAAACTGGCAGGTAATAGTGGGAGACAAAAGGGTATTGAGGAGAGAAGAGGAGATTTGAATGATAAATGGGGGAGAGATACGCGGAGGTAATGATGAGAAATAAGCATATATCAATGAGAGACATGGGGATGCTGACGAGACATATAGACATACAGCTGCGAGTATGGGACGTATTAGGGATGATCTGCCCACTAACCTGAAGGCGAGGAGGAGAGGGTGATGACCTAACTGTAGGGGGAGGAGGAGAAGAGCGTGACGTCCTGGTAACCTACTTGAGGGTGAAGAGGAGAGGTAGTTGACCTGATGAACCTACCTGTGGGAGGGTAAGAGAGGCTGGTGATCGCGAGTCCAGGTGATCACAGGTTCAGGTGCTCCCATAGCCGAGCACTTGAGGGATACAGGTGACCCCGGGGACACTGTCTGCTCGATGGGCGTGTACCGCAGCTGAGGCGCCGACTCTGCTTGTGTGAGAGAGAATGGATGGTGAGGAAACATTGTGGATGTGATAGTAAGTAGGTGGTGAGAGGCTGTGGACTTACGAGAGAAAGAGAGGGAGATATGTAGTGGTGAGGGAGCGACTATAAATTTACTAATGTAATTCTGAGTGGTTTCTATTCTTATGTTAATTAAATCAACTCAGGAGTGTTAATCTACCTAACTTAAGTTGGGTTTACATACTTGGTTTACTTACATGACTCCCTTTGAGTTTACTTAACGTGGGTATATAAGCGAGTGTAGTTTACCTGGTCGAACGTAAGGGTTGAGCCCCAAGTCCCTGGAGGGTCGCTTGAGGCCGCTGATCCTCACCTCCACTGAAGCACCTCCCCGCCGGTACACCTGGGACAAGTTGGTTATATGTGTATTAGTTACCACTCTCCAAGGCCCCTGTTAATGTAAAGGTTAATTGGGGGGTTTCATACCTGCACTTGAAACGTCTAGTGTTACTGAGAGAGAGAGAGACATGTTAACTAGGAGATAATTGAACTAGAGTGACAAATGACTTTGAGAGACAGTTGAATTAGAGAGAGAGATAAACTACAAAGGAGATGCGTGGACTCTGAGAGATAGTTTACATAGAGAGATGGCTAAAGCAGAGAGACTTAGAGATGAACGACATAGGTGGATATAGGAGAGACAGTTGAACGAGATAGAGAAAGAAAAATTAACAAGATAGATAAAATAGGAACAGACAACCAAACAAAAGAGACAAAAACAAACCAACCATAACACACCAGGTAAAGAAGAGACTTGAGACCACATTAGAAATTACAGGTAAAAAACACACGTAAGAACTACTATAAGACAACAGGTAGTTTGAGCAACAATATTGTCTCTTCCCTGATTACATTTGCATCTCAGTGGTACCGTACCTCCACCACCCTGAGTTACAAACGCCAACTGAGAACACGTGGACGACATTTTGATTTTCACTTACAATTCCATAGACAAGACTCTCCTTAAGTAGGTTTATTGTGTAGGCTAGATTGTGTTAAGTATATCTATGATTTTTATATTGTGGTAGTCAAGTGTATATTAAGGCAGGTGAATATTTGTGGTAGATATTTTTAAGTATACATGAGCTTTAAATCCCTTAAATTTTAATCTTTAAATCCTAATAACCTTTAAATGTCCATAAGCTTAAAATCTGTTAAGCCTTTAAATCTCCGTAACTTTAAAACCACCGTAAAATTTAAATCTCCATAATATAACCTTCAAGTCGATGTGTGGTATCTGAGTAACATAGTCACCCCCAACCCGTAGCTTAAGGGTCACTAAACTGTTTAGTCTCCGTTTTCTGTGGTGTTTTTGTTACCCCCCGAAAGAGAGCACGGGAAGGAGTGCTACTGATGGGTGATGCTGGGTTGTGTGAGGCGACAGAGGTAAATCGAATAGAAATCTTTGTCAGGCGATGCAGTGATGTGGGATGGGAAAAGTCGGGACAGAATGCGTCTGTCACATGATGGAGAGAGTGAATAGTGTGTGTGTGTGTGTGTGTGTGTGTGTGTGTGTGTGGTGTGTGTGTGTGTTTCTTTGTTAGGTGTTAAGGGTACAGTTGTATGGGTTAGTGAGTACCTTTTTGTCGTGGAGATAATGTTGGTCACTACTAATGCTTTGTGACATGTTAACAGCTGAGTCTTCATGTACGGTGTGACCAGCTGACCCGTCATACGCTGTGTTTCCATCCCCTGTGCTAATGACAGTCTCTTGCTCGTAACTGGACAACCTGCGGGAAAAAAAAAAACAATAATTAGCATCAACATAGAAACCACCCACCATAACACACCTAAGTCAGAAACCCTCAGAATACTATTGAAAACGCAACTTAGTCGTATACAGATAACAGTGTCTGTCTCTCTTACCACTGCGAATTCCTGTTAATAGAAGACAAAGTTAGTGAGGGAGAGAAGACATTAAAAGACATATACTGATGAAGACAAATGAGGGAAGATTATTCATAGATATATAACGTTCCTTTACTAAACCTGAAGTTAAAAATCACACCCGAAGAATAAGACATCAACATTGGACACCCTCTTTGTTGTGTGAGAGTTGGAACATATTTTAGTCATTTACATCCAGAGTCTATTAATGTATGTTGTGCCTTAACTAATACACAAAAGCAAAACATAAACTATCAGGTGTCTTGAGGAAGGTTGGATCATTCTCTCCTCACCACCTAGGTTATTGAGGAGTACTGTCTCTCTGTTTGTGGTGTTTCGTCTTCCCCCTTGTATGATAAGTAGGAGATTAGTCAGTCTTCAAATAGAATCTTATTTACATATACATTTACCATCCTATCTCATTTCTTAACTCATTGAGGATATTGGTTTAACCCTTTGAGGAGGATGATGATTTAACCCTTTGAGGATGAAGATGGCTTAACCCTTTCGTACTCAAAGTTTAAGTAAGTACAGGCGAAACTCGAGGAGCCCATCAAACAGAAATCAATCATTTGTATTCCATCTCATGTTCGCTGGAATAAGTCAATCAAAACTTCCTCTTCGCTTACGTCTTCTGAAAATTCTCTTTATTTATCGAGTTCATTCGTCATTCAGATTCCCAACGTCTCCCTTCCCCCATCTGGTTATTCTTGTATGTGGACAAAGTTCTGGTATCATGGCTCTTGGGGACCAAATGTACCAAAAGTTCTGGAATATTGTTTTTCGTATGAGGACTTGGAGGGAATGGGGGAGAGGGGGTGGGTCTGGAATGGGGGAGAGGGGTAAGGTGATGAGTGGGGGAGGGGAATCAGGGGACGTGTCAGGTCTTGGGAGAGTAAGGGGACGTCTCAGGTCTTGGGAGTAAGGGGGTGTGTTGGGTCCATGGAAATAAGGGGGAGGGGGGGGGGTCAATGGCAGAATAATAACTTTAAAATCATGTAAAAACTTTAATATGTTAACAAAAAGAAACAGAACTAAGACCTCGCCCCCCCCTCACCCCCCCCTCCCCCCTCCCCCCTCCCCCAAAAAGGAGAGAAAACATCCCCCTTTTCACTTCATATACCTGATGTTTGTGTTACAGCCTCAATTCTTACACCAAAAAACTGATATTACCTTTATTTATATTGTCTTATAGACCTTTTAAACCTTCAAATTTCATACCATTGTGACTGTGGGAGTAGAGTTTCCACTAGTCGTGTCGAGGATGAGAGGCAGGGAGTGTTATCATGGGAGTCTTAACCTAAGTGTTCCTGGGTTATACAGTGTACACCCAGCTAAGACACTGACATCCAGTTGGTGTACTTTATTATGCTTTAATTCTGGATGTTTAGCTTATTAAATTTAGTGTTATTTAGTATTGTAAATGATTTCTCCATTAATTATAAGATACTACAAAATACATATTAGCCAGATAATACGTAAAAGTCAGTCATGCTTTTCGATTGGCGAGTTAAGTCTGTGGAGTGAAGTGGCTGAGTGGATAAAACGTTCGCCTCTTAACGTAAGGGTCTCTGGTTCGTGCCATCATCCCCACACAGCTGTAAATGGGCACCGAACGTAGAGTAACTTTAAACGTAAGAAGAAAGTGAAGGCTGTTGAAAGTAGAGTATCGTCACCACACAACTTTCTTAAGGTTCAGGAAAATATTTTGGTTGTAGAGATGAATTTTATTTATTTATTTATTTTTATTATTATTTTTATTTATTTTTTTATTATTATTTTTTATTATTATCTTTATTTTTTTATGCATGTTGTGGGATTTTCTCACCAATTATGTGCTTTTAGTGACCCAAATCTGTCATGTTTTGATTCAGTGAAAAACCGTAGAGCATAAATTCATCCACACACCACTAACAGCCGCTTTAAAACTACTATTAACAACCGTCCAGCAATAGACAGACAGACAGACATACAAGCATCATAACAACAGCAGCTCCCTCTGTCAGTCTGGCTTTTATTGAATTACCATCAACACAAGAGTTGCCGGCGAGCAATTTCTGGCCCTTCATTGTCTTGTAATTGGATTTTGTCAAGAGCTGAGGCCAAGGAAGTCACCAGTCACTGTCCTAAACCTGTTACAGATCACTGCCTCACACCTGTTACCAGTCACTGTCCCATACTTGTTACCAATCACTGTCCCATACTTGTTACCAGTCACTGTCCCATACTTGTTACCAGTCACTGTCCCATACTTGTTACCAGTCACTGTCCCATACTTGTTACCAGTCACTGTCCCATACTTGTTACCAGTCACTGTCCCATACTTGTTACCAGTCACTGTCCCATACTTGTTACCAATCACTGTCCCATACTTGTTACCAGTCACTGTCCCATACTTGTTACCAATCACTGTCCCATACTTGTTACCAGTCACTGTCCCATACTTGTTACCAGTCACTGTCCCATACTTGTTACCAGTCACTGTCCCATACATGTTACCAATCACTGTCCCATACTTGTTACCAGTCACTGTCCCATACTTGTTACCAGTCACTGTCCCATACTTGTTACCAGTCACTGTCCCATACTTGTTACCAGTCACTGTCCCATACTTGTTACCAGTCACTGTCCCATACTTGTTACCAATCTCCAGTTACATTCGTCAGTAGGTCGAGGGAAAGCACCAGGTGGTAATAGTCAGGGAGGTAGCAGGTGGCAGCAGTTGTGAGGGAAGTGCCTGATGGCTGTGGATCATGGACGTGACTGTGATAGGAAAAAAAAAGATTGAAAATGAAATTAAAAAAAAAATAAGTCAATAAAACCCCACTTGGCAGCCTCCAGTTGTTGCCATCTCGCTGGGTCACGTATTGTTTTTATTTCATTTTTTTACTTGAAAATCATAATATAAAATAATAAGAAATATCGATTTTTAATTTTAAATTGGAGAATTTTACGTTCACTAAAAATAAGGAAATTGGTTGGTGATTGATGAATGTCTGGAGAATAGTTTGTAATTAACAGGTGAACGTTTGGTGATTGACTGGTGAACGAGTACGGAATACCTAATGAACGGCAAATAAAAGCCTCGAGAACGGCTATTAAACCCTTGATGAACGGCACGTAAAACCCTCCAAAACGCCCACTGAAACCCTCAAAAACCACAACTGAATGCCTGACGAACGGCTAACGAACGCCTGTTCGACGGCTGGTCCAGAAACACGGGAACTCTGAACTGGCTGGTGAACTGGCTGCAGCTTGGTTGGTGAACGGCTGGCGGGAACGTAACACAATCGTCGCCGGCAAATGGAAAAGCGGCGCTGGCCAAATTACAAAAAAAAATGCTCACCGCTAAAAGTATTGGAGGCCGTAAAAGTTGAAAATAAATAAAAATATGAAGCGGAAATATACGGTTGTGCTTGGGATATAATGGACTTTCTTGAGAGAGAGAGAGAAAGGGGGGGGGTAGCGGAAAAGAAAGAGAGAGCGAGAGAGAGCAAAAGGCAGCGGGAAAAAGAGAGAGCAAGATAGAGAGAGGGAGGGAGAGAGGCAGGAAAAAAACTACAGACTAAAAATCGAACAGGCAGAATGAAAGATAGCGGGGTACACGTAATTTCATTGTGTGAGTGTGGGGAAGAGAACAAGAATAAAAGCATATATTTTTTGTCGGGTTTTAGTTTTTATATATAAAGTAAATATTAAATACGCCCATACATACATGGAGAATGGGATAATAATAATAATAATAATAATAATAATAATAATAATAATAATAATAATAATAATAATAATAATAATAATAATAATAATAATAATAATAATAATAATAATAATAATAATAATAATAATAATAATAATAATAGAATACGAAGACTCACCAATGTTAACTATATTATTGGTGGAGCTTCATAATAATTGAAGATGTATATATAGAATGAATGAATGAACAACTAATGTACATGCGCACGAACACACATACCAGTAAAAGAACCAAACCTAACCTAACCTAACCAAAACTAATAGGTTCCATCATCTATCTACAAAGACTTTATGTGTGAACTTTGGCTGTAGTGCTTCCAATAGAACCTAAGATATTGTGCAGACAGACAGAAAAGCAAGAAGACAGACAGACAGGGGGGGAGGGGGGGGGAGATAAAAGGGGAAGTTCCAAGTGGGTGATTATTTTCACCCCTTGTGGACTGTGGTTTCTCAAGGGAAAATACCTTCACTGCCTTTCCATTCAAGTTGGGAGCCAAACGAGGGCAGCCACTTTAACTTTGCACATGTGTATTCATGACTCAGACCAAGACTTACGCTTCTATTATTGAAAATTTTTATAACCCTTAACAAAAAGTTTTATTAACTCGCCCGTTATTGACGTCGCTTAAACCGATTCCGAGAGACTTTTTTTTTCTTTCTTTTTTAAATCAAGAGTTTCTGAGAGTTTATGTTGAGGAATGAATGTGTGGAAAAAGGAATATAATTTGTTTCTTTTCCTCAAGTATTTGTTGACAATGGGCTTAGACAGACAAACAGACAGACAGACAGACAGACAGACAGACAGACAGAAAGAAAGACACATATACGGTACAGGTAACCACATTGTTGGTTGATCCTAGAAAGCAGAAACAGAAAAAAGTGAGAGAGAGAGAGAGAGAGTGAGAGAGAGAGAGAGAGAGTGTGTTACGCCACTATAATACAAAGTTGTTCCAAATTCACCTTCTCAGTTCCCGACACTGGAATTGTAAGAGAGTGGTGGAGGAGATGGTGGTGGAGTGGTGGAGCGGATATAGGAGGATAAAGGAGAAGTGCAGAGAGAGGATGGAAGGAGAGGGGGAGGGTAGGA